GGAGCTGCTGTAGCTTGGTTTGTCAGTTTTGGGGTGGTGCCAAGATGCCATTAGGACTTTCCGAGCCTCGTCAGGCATCCGTTGCACGTCAAAAGTAGACACAAACAAGGAAAAAGGAAACTGCTGTGAAGAGAGAGGACAAGGTGGAAGGACAGACTCGAGACGCATCTAGATTGGCGATGTGTGTGGCCTGGTTTCTACACCCAGCCCTGTTGCTTCACAAGCCCTCCTGTGCACACGCAATAGTGCCACGAAACATGCAAGCCAGAGCATGCCAGGGTGCACAAAAGAGGTATAAGAAGGTGCCCCACCAAGGCTCACCCAGCAGGTGTTGGGGTGGAGGGGGCAGTTTAACTCAAATACCTACAGGAGGAGTGGCTGATCTAAGCAGGGGAAGGTGAAAGGTGCAAAGAGGCTGCCTTCTGAAGGAGGAACTTGAATTAGGGATTCCCCAAGGATTCCCTTAGGCAGCACTATCTCGACTTAGCTTGCCAACAACTGGGGCAGGAGGCCAGATTCTGGAACCAGCCAGCATAGGGTGGGGAAGGAGAATCTCTGAGTCATGCCAGCAGGAGACCACACCCTGGACAGTGGCCTGCTGTCGAATGGTTTTACACAGTGCGTCCATCTCCCCCTGCTTCTCCCCTCCTCCAAACAAGTTTCACACACGTACAGTTTGAACCACTGAACACAGAAGACTCCGCTGCCCGCTTCCCCACTCTGGGTTAAGGCCAGCAGGCTCTTTGCCCCAAGGGCTACTTTACAGCTGATAGCTTTCCAGTCACATGCTGGCTCATGTGGGATTATTACAGGCCCAACTGGGTTTATGCAATAGGCCCAGGCAAATTCCGGCAGTGGTGGGGCCTGTAATTCCTCTTACAGCGGAATCTTTCTCCTCTGCAGGAGTCTCCTTGTGTGCAGTCGCTTGGCTTTCTCTAGACTTTACCCAAAACAAGAACAAGCTTTAACTGACAAATGCTGTCATTAATGGTTGAGAAAGGACATACAAGGTTAGCAGCCCAAGCTCCAGTGGGCTGAGGTTTTGACACACATCTGGTCTGTGGCTCCTTAAAATGGAAGGCCTTGCCCAGCTGCTTCCCAGAATGATATGCCTCCTTCTGGAGGCAGGCTCCCACTCATAGCTGGGGAAACTTAAGAAACTGTATGTGTTCTTCTGGCTCTCTCTGCTAGAGTTGCCACTGAGTTTTGAGCCTTTCAAGATGCACGTGTATGAAATAAAGTTTGGCTGCGTTTTCTCCTATGGGAGAGTCTGCACTCCCAGTGTCATCGCATGAGGAATGTGTACATTCTGGTCAGGTTTTCTAGTCCTCAAGGTAGAAGAAAGGAATTTGAAGCCACAGAAATGCTTACAGGCAGAGTGGGCCTCAAACACGTTTTGCAGGTGTCTGTCTTCTATACTCTCCCCTTATAGGCTAAATTCATGTTCAGGTAACCCTTTGCTGCCTCGTTGCCCCCAAAGCCTCTCCTCTTGTTCTGCCAGTGCCGAATCAGGGCTTACCCAAACCATTCAATCGCAAAACACACTCACACTGCAGAAATAAATAAATGAAGTTTTGCAAATTAAAACAGGTTGGTGCAATTTGTTCTAATGACAGCATTTGAGCTTCCTGGGCACAGCGCATGTGTACAGGCCACCCCATGTACAAAATGTATCCTGACTGCTGACACGGGAGTACAGCCCTCATGTACAGGGCAAACCAAGCTATCACTTCAAGTTGCCTTCAGTGTGGCACACGCAATCAAACACCGTCCCTTTCTTCTCCTCCCCACAAAAAACAGCCCCGGGGGCTGGAACCAGTCAGACCTGGACTGCGGCAAAAGGACTGCCAAAGCTGCTGCCTCCCTTTCCAGCTCACCCGCTCCAGCTTAGCTGTACACCATTTCCAAACCACCAACAGAGTCACAAAGCCAAGAAAGCAGATCCTGAACTGCATGCAACAGAAACTAATATCCAGACAACCTTCAAGTCAGGGAAGCAACCGTTTCACAAGCCTTTCACGCTCCTCCAGCTTAAAGGGCCTTTTTCCATATGGAGCCATGGCTCAAGTCCCAAGCACGCACACCACTGCTTTTCCCTCTCCCCCCAAATCAGGGATTCAAACAATTCCTCCCTGTATCTCCCAAAGTACATCCAGTACGATGGCTTTGATTTCATGGATCTGTGTGCACTATTTCAGTGCTTCTGATCCCCGCAGATTAGACATGTGCCAAGGAGGCCCGCAGCTAGCCATCTCATGGTGGGAGGTCCTACAGTACACGGGGGGCGGGGGCAAGGGAGGGGATATCATAAATCCAAGGTCAAACATCAAAAACCTAAACAGGTATTGCCCATAGTTGTTGAAGACTATTTCAATTTCTCTTTTTAAGTTTTAGTTTTTTTACTGAGAAGTGCCCAATGCCTTTGCACTCACTGGCTAGACTATTGGGAGCTCGAATATTTTATTACTGAGATCCTGAAAGTGTGTTGATCTTATTTCTCTCCAAGCAAGGAAACCTAAAGCCTTCTTTTTAAATGAAACATTCACGGAAAAGGGCTAGGAATACGCCTAAGGGGTCTATGGCTTTACAACAACACCAATCACTATAACCAACTGTTAATGGTGTAGGCTGGTGTCTCGGACATTTCCCACACTGCCGGTTGCATGCTGTGGGCCTCACCAGCTCTCCCTTCCTTCCCCCCACCAAATGGTCACAGTCCCCACTTTGGATAGTTCCCACCCAGTCTTTCTGAACATACACTTGAACATATGAAGCTTCCATATAGCAGATTAGACCACTGGTTTATTGATTCCGTTTTATCTTGTCTGATCAGCAGCATCTCACCAGGGTCTCAGGTGCAGTAAGGTCTTTCTCAGAGCCTCCTAATCCAAGATATTTTAACTGGGACTGAACCTAGGACCTTCTGCATGCACAGCTACTAAGTCACAGCCTCTTCTCCACTCCTGCTGCAACCAATTGTTCTCTTGTGTTGCAAGCGGTGTCCCTTATTCAACTTGGCCCTTCACGGGCACTTGGATTAAAATTCATTTCTTTGAAAGAAAATTACTGTGAACAGAGGCTAGTGTTTTTCTTGTGGTGCAGCCTTTGGCAGAGATGACAAAGGGAGTCAGAATCGATCTTTGGGACCTCTGTGCAGGATCCCTCATGTCTGACACTGGAATATCTGGACACTCTGCTGAACTTGGCAAGATCAGTTCTGAAAGTTGGCGTTGACAGGACCAGAATCAATCAGGGACAGATTAAGCAGCAGGCAGAGAGTTCCGTGGTGGCCATCTCCCACTAGCGAGGGGAAAAGATGAGCCACTGCAGTGCCAGAACTGAGAATCAAACCCAAGAACTAAAAAAGCCTCCCTAGTCTTGTTACCCAGTGGCACAACAACAGTTCTTAAGCTCCCTGAAACTGCAGAACTGAAGATTTGTCAAGCCTCTCACTTGTTCTTAACCCCAGGAGAAACACAAAAATATAGAGAAAAAAGACTTCAAGGTCCCCTGCAGGAAAAATTGTCCAAACTGTTGGCATACTTGACCATCAGGATACCTCACACGTGTTAGAGTGATTGGTACTTGATACTTTGCACAACTTCCAAGGACTCCAGGGTGAAAAAACTTGATAAATGTGGGAAACAGCCCAGCAGGGATTGCTGAGGATTGGAAGCCACACAGCAACGGCACCTGATTCATCTGAGACCAGCTTGCAGGCATCCTTACCTGTCCACCTGCAGCTGCAGCTGCCCAGAGCTCTGCTTTATCTTGTTCTGTGCCTCCACGTTGAGCATCTCGGCAGTGCTCTCGCCATTGATAGAGATGATGACATCGCCGGGGCGAAGATCACCGAGGGCTGCTTTGCTGCGTTCAGTCACCTGCATGCATAAGTGGGGGGGGAGGGGGAAGGTGCATAGAGTTGAGGACACAGAGCAGCACTCTTATTCCAAGTACACCAAGGGAAGGACAAGGAAGACAAGTAGGCATTCTACTCCTCAGTAGAGACAGCAGCTTCCAGGTGGGGCCTGGAAATCTGGAATTACAACTGATCTCCAGAGATCCTGGAGATTTTGGGGGTGGGGTCTGAGGATGGCAGGGTTGGGGGAGGGTAAGGACTTCACCGGGGTACAATGCCACAGAATCCACCTTCCAAAGCGGCCATCTTGTCCAGGTGAACTGATCTGTCGCCTGGAGATCAGCTGTAACAGCAGGATATCGCCAGTCACCACTGGGGGTTGGCAACCCTATCTCCAGATGACAGAGCTCAGCTCTCCTGGACAAGATGGCTGGTTTGGAGAATAGACGCTATGGCATTATACCCCCAATGAGGTCCCTCCCCTCCCCCAACTCTTGCCCTCCCCAAGTTCCATCCCCAAATCTCCAGGAGCTTCCCATCCCAGAAGTGGCAACCCAACTCCTCAGGGCCCTCAGGGAGTTGGAAAGACATAGCAGGTGTTGCTGTGCTTGCCTCTACTGGCTCCATCGAAAATAACCAAAGGATGTATCAGTGGATTGGTTAATAACATGGACTAAATTAACTGATACTCTGAGTCCACGCATTCACCCATATTAAGAATTAAAAATGGGTGTGCAGCTTTATGACTAATAGAAAGAGCTAATTAAGCCTGGCAGAAAAGTTCCAGAAGACTAACTGTGTTAAGGTTACAAAAAGTTATTATATATCAGCTGTGAAGTGATTTTGGCACAGCATCTTTAATGTACTAAGAGAGACAGCAAAGAGAAAAGTGGTATGTAGTCCATTACTGATATGTTTGGACAGATGGAAAAAAGACTGGGGGGAAAAGCATGGCTATCTACTGAAAAGTATGACAGCTCCAGCAAGATAACTCACTACAAATACTGGACATGATTGCTGTATCACCAGTAGAGGTATGGTGAGGGAAGTGTTGGTATAGTACGATTATGGACAAGCATACAGTATGTAAACAGTTAAGAGGAAGAAAGTTATATATTCAAGATTTATGAAAAGGTGGAGACCTTTTATTAATTCCTGGAATATGTCAAGACCATAGGAAGATGTGAAGGCTGAGATAGTACATTTAGCGTTTATTTCTATTTCTCAGTCTCCATTGTTATAAAGAGTCGTCTGTAAGTATCTAGATTTAAGGGTCATTAACTAGAATTACATAGCTAAACTTAAGTAGACTTTATAACATGCTGTATGCCTGTCTTGTAATGTTTATAATTTAATATAACGAATTAAAAAATTATATCTGTATTTTTTCTCTTTTCTGATTTAAGCTTTGTAATTATATATAACAACCAGTGTTCCCTCTAAGCTAAGTTAGTGTGAGCTGGCTCACAGTTTTTTGTGCTCCAGCTCACACATTTTTGTCCTAGCTCAGGAAGGATGGCTCCGGATCATACTAATTTATGCAGTAGCTCACTCACAACTTCAATGCCAGTAGCTCACAAAGTAGAATTTTTGCTCACAAGACTCCACAGAGGGTGCATTGATAACAACTACCAAAATGAACATTAGGTCCTGTTGCAGCTTTAAGACTAATACAAATCTGGCCTGGAGTTTTCTAGGCAAGATTCTCTGCCTTGCGCATTCATCAAGTAGAAAGGGGGGGGGAGTCATCCACCACTGCTTTACACCATGACACTTGGAAAAGGCTAGTCATGGGTACTGAGGTCCCAGAAAGCACAACGCAAGAGAGGCAAGACAACTTCCTAATAGGAGGATGAGGCATGCCATGTTACACAGAACTCCTCAGACAAAGTTTGCTGTCTATGCAGCTGAGCATTGGATAAACCAGTTTACAAGTGGAAACGGTTAAAAAGGAAAAAGAAAAAGCAGCAGTTTCACCACCACACCTTTAGGTCGCTCCAAGGCATGACAAATGCATGCTTCAAAAATGTATGTCTACTGGAAAAGATAGTTTAGGCAATTAAGACGATGACTAACTATATTACGTGCCCTTCATTCCAGCATACATAGTGTTGGGGTTTATGGATAAGTCTGTAGAAGGAGCACAGCTGCCAAAAGTTCTGCCAGCTTCTAAATGGAATGTGCCAATGACTTGAAACTAGTTACTTGAAACTAGGGATGGGCATGAACCAGCTAACGGCATTGGATAAACCAGTTTACAAGTGGAAACAGTTAAAAAGGAAAAAGAAAAAGCAGCAGTTTCACCACCACACCTTTAGGTCGCCCCAAGGCATGACAAATGCATGCTCCAAAAATGTATGTCTACTGGAAAAGATGGTTTAGGCAATTAAGACGATGACTGACTATATTACGTGCCCTTCATTCCAGCATACATAGTGTTGGGGTTTATGGATAAGTCTGTAGAAGGAGCACAGCTGCCAAAAGTTCTGCCAGCTTCTAAATGGAATGTGCCAATGACTTGAAACTAGTTACTTGAAACTAGGGATGGGCATGAACCAGCTAACGAGCCAAAATTCGGGCTGAACTTGGGCCAGTCAGAGCTTGGGAAATGATGTTCAGGAAAGGCACGTTCCCCGAACATTTACCAGAATTCTGGCCGGTTCAGTTTGGCTGTTTGGGGCCAGCCATTTAAGCCTAACAGTTGAGCGGCACCGGGTTCACCACTCAGCTGTTAGGTTTAAGTGGCTGGCAGCCATCTAACCCTTCGGTTTTACCCCTCCCCCCTTGAAGCAGCAGGGAGCAAAAATGAAGGGTGAAGTGGCAGCCAGTCATTTAAACCTGGGATCATAGTTTCTATTACAGAAAACACAAACAAACACTGTGATATGCTGGCTTACACATTCCGTAAAACATTTTACAATCAATATATAACTCTTACTATTATTTATTTATTTATTGAATTTATACCCCTCCCTATCCCACAAGTGGGCTCAGGGCGGCTTACAACATGTAGTCCATAAAACAATAAAACAGTAAAAGCCATAAAACAGTCAATAGCACAATCAACAATATCATCAAACCCCATGCCTCTTATCAGATGAACATAGGTGCTCCAGTGCCCAATAATAGTGTCTGCCAGAAGGCACTGTATGCATAAACAGGGGAGGCCAGAATGGTTGAACGTCTGCCGCCTCAATCAAAACCCTGGCGGAACAGCACCGTTTTACAGGCCCTGCAGAGCTGTAATAGGTCCCGCAGGGCCCTGATCGCAGGTGGGAGCATGTTCCACTAGGTCGGGGCAAGGGCCAAAAAAGCCCTTGCCCTGGTTGAAGCTAAGCGGACGTCCCTCAGGCCAGGGATCACCAGGAGGTGTTGATCAGAAGAGTGTAAAGCTCTCCGGGGCTCATAGAGGGAGAGGCGGTCGAGTAGGTATGATGGTCCCAGGCCACATAGGGCTTTAAAGGTCAAAACCAGAACCTTGAAACGGATCTGGTATTTGAAGTCTTCCTCAGAAATATTCCTATTGTCTTCAAAAGCCTTTTGAATTCTGCTGCCAGAATGCTCTCTACAAAAAGCTTGAAATTAACTCCATTTATAAAGAAAACTATTCTAAGTAATTCTATACAGCTGCGCGTTGGATAATCTCTTTCTTAAAGGTATAAAACACAATATAACACTGCCACAGCAAAATTCAGAAGGCTTTTGCATCTGGTTAGAGAAGAGGTTCAGGACTGGTTTGCTCCTAATATACACACTTAAGTGCCATTAAGAGGTAAGTTCTTAATACTATTTAAGAATGTTAAAAATTATTCAGTTCGATTGGGCTTAATGTTGTTTCTCGTTTCAATAACCATGGTTTATTCCAGAATGATACTTTTGAAGAAAATAAAATACTCCTGAGGTTTGAAGAGAGTATTTTGCCAGCCAAATTCAGAAAGCTTTTGCATCTGTTTAGAGAAGAGTTTAAGGACTGGCTCGCTCCCAATATAAAAACTGAATTATAACAAGAGGCTGATAACTTTGAAGACAACAGGAATACTCCTGAGAAAGACTTTGATGAAACAAGCTTACATCCAGGTGCTCATAGTAACATCATGAGGATGTAACATCATGATGATGGGCTTCTCTTTGTAATATTAGAAGGATGTACTACACTTTGTGTTATTATAAGGATGTACTTCTCTATAATGTGACATAAGATTTATATACTGATTGTAAAATGTTTAGCTAAACGTGTTAGCCAGCATATCACAGTGTTTGTTTGTGCAGGCTTGCCGCAGCAGGGAGAAAGGTGGAAGGGAATTCTTCACCCCCTTTCTCCTGGCTATGGCAAACTGCAGCCAGGAGAAAGGGGCAGCTGAACTTGCCAGACCGGTTCGGTTTCGGTAGGGCCTGTTCAGTTTGGGGTTCGGTTTGGGGGCCACCCCAAATCCCAAACCGAACCGCCTTTTTTAGGTTCGTGCCCATCTCTACTTGAAACAGCAAAACCTGCAGGGACTGTATAATTATGGGGAAAGGACAGATAAAAATCCACAAAAGGGATAGAAAAGATAAAAAACCAACAAAGGCCCCGGTCACATGGGAGACTTTGGCCCGGGAGAGGGACGGATCGGGGGCGCAGCAAATGGGAGCGATCTCACCGCAACATCTGGAAAGCGGCGCGCACCCGTCCCTAATCCATCCCTAAACCCTGAAAACCCGCTGCGAAAAAGAACCTCCTACAGAGGACTTACCTGAAGCATCACTGCAAATGCGGCCGTGGGATCACCGCTGCGACCGTCGTCCGGATCAATCCAGGCTCCCCGCCAAACTGCGCATGTGCACACATGCGCAGTTCGGCTGTCACGCACTTTCTTTAGTGGCTTCCCCCCGGCATCTGATCGTGCCGGGGAGGAAGTGCGTGGCGGCTCAGGGGATCTATGTGATCCTGCTGCCGCGTCTCTCTTTTGGTGCGGCTTTAGAAAGCTGCACTTTGCCCGTGCTATTCCCCCCCGTGTGGCAGGGGCCAAAGTTTCAGATTACTACCTTTCATTAGCTATCACAAACAATTATATAGTTAGTACTCTCATAGCACTTACATGGTTCAAAACACTCCATGCACATCATCACAGTAATTACATAATCTGGATATAAATAAGTACAGATATCTTGAAATTTCTTAGCCTTCTTGGTTCCCCAGCTCAGTTTTTTGTTCAACTGCAGCAATTGACAAATCTTTATTTCATATTGCACAAAAGTTTGGCAACATCTTGTTGCGTAGTAATGTATTACGAAGATGTACAAATTAGTCAAATTACTAATAGCGAGCCAATGGGGTGCAGGGGCTTGAGTGCCGTCCGAGGACCAGGGACACTGAGGTTCAAACCTCCCTTCAGCCATGAAGCTCACTGAGTGACCATAGACCAATCATCTCCTTTCACGCCTAGCCTACTCACTGGGTCATTGTGAACATAAGAACATAGGAGACGCCAATGTTGGATCAGGCCAAAGGCCCATCCAGTCCAACACTCTGTATCACACAGTGGCCAAAAATACCAGTGCCATCAGGAGGTCCACCAGTGGGGCCAGGACATTAGAAGCCCTCCCACTGTTGACCCCCCCCCCAAGCACCAAGAAGACAGAGCATCACTTGCCCCAGAGCCCCTATCTATACCTTGTGGCTAATAGCCACTGATGGACCTCTGCTCCATATGCTTATCTAATTCCCTTTTGAAGCCGTCCATGCTTGTAGCCGCCACCACTTCCTGTGGCAGTGAATTCCATGTGTTAATCACTCTCTGGGTGAAGAAGTACTTCCTTTTATTTAATCGTGGTTATAATATGGGAAAGGAGAGAACCACCCTGAGCTCCTTAGAAGAAGGGATGGCTAAAGAAATGCAGTGAATAAATAAAAACACTAAAAACAAATCAACCCGCTGCAACCTCGTCAACTCTCCTATTAATCAATATATTTGAAAATAATTTTTTTTACGGGCAAGTCATTATCTGAAAGTTTCTGACATGTTTGCATTTCAGGCCAGCTTTCTGCAACATACAGTTGAAAATTGGCTACATTTGTAGGGTTGCCAGCCGACCAGCAGGAGAGATACCAGGGATTGAACTTGGGACCTTCTGCATGCCAGGAAGATGCTCTACCACTGAGCCACAGCCCCCCACAAGTAGGAAGTGTTGGGGACGGAGGGAATGGCATTGGACCAACAACACAATGCAAATTCCAGGAAATACCTGGAAGTGCCATCATATTGTCCACATGATATCAGTTCCAAGTATTTGTGTCACACCATGAAATGACACCACCTTTTTGAACAATGTTCCTCTTGCCAGCAGGCAACAGAAAGGGAGGCCAGTCTCCCGATACACTTGCATTCGGCGTCCCTGCACCTGAAGACCACTGTGAAACCTGAAAACGTGCACATTCCACAACCGCAGCTTTCATTTGTTTCAAAATGCGGCAGCCACGTTTCCTACAAAGGGTTTGCTCACATTTATGATGAGGTCCTTCCGGAATGCTGGCTCACTTAAGATGCGAAATAAGAAGGCTACTGCCAATGAAAATTATTTGCCCGGTCGTCCTAGGAAGCAAAGGACGCTTTATATTCCTTGTGGTTAAGACAAGGCTGCTCTGTTCCTTAACACAGATCCAGAGAAACTGGCCTACAAGAAGAGAAAGGCAATCACAGGCGTTGCTTTCAGAGAGGGGCCGTGGCTCAGTGACAGAGCATCTGGTTTGAATGCAGAACATCCCAGGTTCAGTCCCCAGGATTTCCAGTTAAATGAATCATGTAGCAAATTATGCGAAAGATCTGTACTCTAACCTGAGACTTTGGGGAACTGCTGCCACTCAAAGCAGACAATACTGACCTTGACACGGAAATGCTCTGACTCGGCACAAAGCAGCTTCATGTGCATGCATTCATCCGGTGAATCATTTACAGTTAGCCTGGGATAAACCCAGCTTACTTACAAATGCAAAGGATTAATCAGAGGCTAAAACGAACATGGAGTTAAGAAACAGCCCCTAACCTAATCAAATGTATGAGTCCTGCAGCTGATTTGTCTCAATTAATCCCAGAAAAACAATCACATAAGCAATAGCGGAGCTCTCTTTGTATGCAGAGGAGATGGAGAGAATGCCAAGCTTCCCACTAATACACACTAACCCAAATGGAGAGAACGATGGGGCACAGCTGAACCATTCAAAACTCTTTTGGCAGAGCAACAAAGTTTGTTGATTCAGGATAGCAAATCAGAAGCCACCTGCAGGCAGCCTAAGTCAAAGGAACAAGTCCCTCGCAGTAAAAAAATGCCTTTGGGCCTGGCCCCTACAAACTAGTCCCTAAATGACTAACAGACACCATCATTCTGGCACATGGAAGACTAAACTCAGGTGGACTCGGAAGTTAAAACGGCCCAGGCACAAGCCAGGATGAGGACCTCTGCTTACATGCTGACACCACAGGGGTCCTTCGGCTCAGACGTGCCCAGTGGCACCAAAGATGGGTTTGGTTCATCTGTTGCTACCTCCTAGGGCTGCCAACTCCTAGTTGGGAAATTCCTGGAAATTGGTGGGGTTTTTTTTGGGGGGGGGGGCTGAGTTTGGGGAGGGATCCACCTTCCAAAGCAGCCTTTTTCTCCAGGGGATCTGACCTCTGTTGTCTGGAGATCAGTTGACATTCCAGCAGGCGTCCAGGCCCCACCTGGAAGATGGCAACCCTACAGAGTGCTGGACAAGGCAATGGGTGAGCCACTGGCCTCTGACGCGCCAACAGAGCTACTGGGGCTTGGCTCCACTTGCTCCTGGCTGCCTGTGGAGCTTTAGGGCAGCAGCCCAGCAGGAACTTTCCCTGTAAGTTCAACAGCCAGTCCCCCCCCCCCAAAACTCTTAACACTGATGCTGGTCAGAAGAGCAACCTGCCAAGGCACATTCTACTCCTCCTCAGCCAGGCCAAAACGCAGGGGAAATTCCCTTAGTCCACAAAAGCATCCAAGGCAAAGTCAGGAAGAAATACATTAGACCCCTCCTGCTTGCAGTCGACCTGGACACAGAAACCCCGTTCCCATGGAGTAGGATTCCTGAAAAGATGGTAAACAGGATCTGTTCTCCTCATTAGTCTGAAGGGTCATGCTTGGCTCAGCGCCAAAGCCGGAGAAAGAAATGGCTTCCTTTACAGCCTCGACCCCAAGCAACTTCACAGCCCTCTAAAGCAGACAAAATGCTCAGCATTCCAGGATGTCCTGCAAACCCCATAGACTTTCAGTGAGGGAGCAGCCCAGCCAAGCAAACTCCTCTCTCCGACTTCTCCAAAGGAAATTCCACTCTCCACTCAGGGCTCGCTGCAAAGCTTTCAGCAAGACAGAGCATAATTGGTCAGTGGGAATACAGAGCCTCCTTGTTCAAGGCCTTGCTGTGGCTTCCAGCTGCAGTCTAAGCCCTTGAATCTAGCCTTGTGGGTAATGGCAGCTGCATTGCCAAAACTCTAGTGGGACATAAAGGCTACCTCCTGCAGCCCCACCAGTGATGCCTCTTCCCCAATCAGAGCTCTCTCAGAGTCTTAAGATCGTGCACAGCACACCTGTTCAGCTTCATTTCTGGGCCAACCTACTGATCTGTCCAAGCCAGCATTCTGTATCCAGGGGGAGTGTGGAATACAAAGACCAGACAAGATCAACTCCCTCCATTAAGACCAATATACATACAACACTGGAGGGAGTGCTAAGATTCCTGGATGTGAAATACAGCTGCAAAAATCAGTCCTGAGAAGAGCGACTATATGGATTGGGACCATGGCTAAAGTAGGAGGAACAACTATTCCCTTCTGTGCCATTCCCCTGGTTGGAAATACTCCTCTTCCCTCTTGAGTGCTTTAAGCCTCAGGAGGGAAAGAAAGCAGGTACCAGTTTTTTGCTTTATTTATTCCTGATGTTTCAAGCAGCTGGGGTGCTTCCAGAGAAACAGCAACGGGAATAATCAAACCCCCAGCTTCCCTGCTTCCAGAGTCCTCATCCCCTGTGACTGCTTTTTGCAGATAAAACACACACATATAGTTTTGTTCGTAGTAAAGTGAGTACAAAGGTATGCTGCATGAAGAAGTACTGGGAGCTCAAGCAGGAGAAAGTGGCAGGGTAGAAACCTTTGCAGAAATACTTTGTGGGTTTCAAAATGATCTCCATATCATGCTGCAGGAAGGACTGACATCCTACCACTTAGAGGACTGACTTGGGGGGGGTGTGATTCTGCTTGAAGGAACATCCTCCACACCATTCACCTGTGACATTCATGCCTTCAGTTCCAGCCGCTGGAACTCCATGTTGGTTGGAGAGTCTGGCTGCTTCCAGGGTAATAGCTCTGAACAGTATTGCTTTGGCTAAGGGTTCCTCGACTCCTCATCTGCAGCTAGCTTTGCCTGAAGGCCTCTTTGAGAGTGTAACATAGTGGCAGAGAAGCCAAGTCCCCTGCATGCACTGTCACTCTATCTGCAATCATTCTTGCCTCTGGACTGGCAACTGGGTGACAGCCGGATCCCATTCGAGAAGCCCAATTTACTCTTAGAGCTGTCGTTTGCTGATTCTTAACCCTCTTGGAGGTCAAGTCTTTCTTATTTATTCCTCATGCAGCAAGACACTGTCCTGGTTCTATTTTCCAGTGAACTAACAGAGGTAGGCATCATGTTTCATGCAAAAACTTCTCTTCCTCAATGATATTCACTGAGCAACCAGTAGGCCAGAAGGTAAATTTTGATGTATGGCATGGACATGCATTCAAGTGACCTGCATTCATCACCAGAACTCATTCCTGGCCCTTTTACAAATCTGAAACAAATCATGAGAGAAGGATTCTTACCTTAGACACCATGATGGGCTTCCTGAAGTCCCTTCCGCCATTTATGCGGAAGCCCCAGGGGGCAGGGCCAACAAGGTTCACGCTCACAGACATGACAGTTTCACTGGCACTGGAAAAGCAATCACGGGACTCTACGGGCCTGAAAAGATAAGAGGGACACATATAGAAATATGGGATTTCTAAAGTACTTTGTACAAGAAAGAAGGTGCAGCAGAAATGCGGGTATTATTTGTTAAACTGGGGGACCCGCAACAACTTGTGAGAGCATCTCATTTCCCCCTCATCCACTATTTCCTCCTTCCCTTCCATGAAAGCCTCTATGGCAGGGGTGTCGAACTCATTTGTTATGAGGGCCGAATGTGACATAAACGAGACCTTGTTGGGCCGGGCCATGTGTGTCATAAAATGTAATGCCAGGTAGCGGAGGTATAAACGTTTCAATGGACACAAACACAAAGGTTTTTTTTTAACTTAAAATAAAAACATGCTTAAAACATTAGCACTCTTGCAATATTTTGTTTATTTAACAGTGTCTGATAACTGACACTTCTTGCTTTGAATTATTGCATCAAAATGTCTGTGCTGTTGCAATCTCAAGTATGCTGTTCAGCTGTGTGTATCTGTAAGCTGCAAACCTACAATGACGCAGCAGCAGCAGAACTGGAAGAAGAAGCAGAAGACAGCCAGTTCCACTGCAGGCCTGATAGAAGCCATCCAGGGGCCTGATCCGGCCCCTGGGCCTACTCTATAGCCTCTCCCCCTTTCCTGCTTCCTTCTCTCCTTCCCACCCACCAGCCAACCTATCTTTATCTGCCACTCTAGCTTCAGCTTTCCTTCCTTCCCTCCGCTTGGTAGCCTCTCCCTGGGAGAACTACAGGCAGTTTTGGCTGTCCAGCTTAGCTGGACTGAGTTGTGCGGTGCTGGCCAATGGTCTAACTTGCATTGGGGGGACTCACTATATCCCTATCTCCACACTATTTCCTCTTTCCTTCCTCCTGGCAGCCCCCATATCCACACCTTTTGCTACTTCCTTCCCTTCTCCTGCTCACCAACCCACCTTTATCTGCCCTCTGTTTTCAGCTACATTTAATATGCACCATACCTGCCTTTCTCCACAAAGGGACCCAAAGCAGCTTACATCATTCCCCTCACCTCCATTTTATCCACTCAACAACCTTGTGAAGTAGGTTAGGCTGAGAATGTGTGATTGGCCCAAGGTCACCAAGGCAGAATTGAGATTTGAACCTGGGTCTCCCAGATCCTAGTCTGAAATGCTAACTACGGCACAACACTGGCTTTCATGGCATAGCTGCTTTTGAATAGTAGGAAGTAGCCAGTCCTGGGCGAGTCATGCAAATCGCATGGCAGCAAGATTTCCAGTAGCTATGGCTGAGTCTGGCCTCGGTGAGTCCTCCCTCAAAGGCCAAAACAGCCATGGAAAGGGCCCTGCCCCCTCCTGCTGCCTTTCACTGACAGAAACCAAGGCTTCAACTGGCAATACTGTTGCGGTTGCCTAGCAACAGCCACAGAGGCATTTGTTTGTTAAAGCTATAAGTGCTGCTTCTATTATTTGTTGTGGGGTTAACCCTCCCATCCTTGGGTTTGTTTGTTTTTAGACTTCAGATGGATCTGTAAACCTGAGGCTTTTCTTAGTCTTTTCTCAGGTTTCTCAAGGTTGTAGAAAGATCTATCTTGGCCCCGGTCACGCGAAAAGTTTTGGGCCGGGAGAGGGACTGATCAGGGGCGCAGCAAACGGCCATGATCCCACTGCAACATCTGGGAAACGTTGAGCACCCGTCCCCGATCCGGCCCAAAACCCGCATCTAAACTAAACCACCTCCTGAGGAGGTCTTACCTGAACGGCCGCGGCAAGCGCAGCTGTGGGATCGCCGGCGCGTCCTTCTGCCAGCGCATCCCTGGCTCCTGGCCGAACTGCGCATGCATGCGCAGCCGGCTGCCTCGGTCTCCTGACCATGGCTTCCTCCCCGGCATCTGATCGTGCCGGGAAGCAACGGCGCCGCGGCTCATGGGATCCATGGGATCCCGCCGCAGCATGTCTATTTTGGTGCGGCTTTAAAAAGCTGCACTTTGCCGGTGTTTTTTTCCCCCGTGTGGCAGGGGCCCTTGTATGTTCATGGCTCCAGTCTCTGGATTTAAGTATCCACAGATTTGACTGCAATGAAAATTAGCTGTATTGCTTGCATGTCAAAGCAGGGGGAAAACCAGGAGCTTGTTGGCCATAAAAGTCGCTTAGATGTACCATGGTATTGTTTCAAGAACCCATGGACCTCAGTCATCAATCCTTGGAGATCAAATGTTACATGTTGGAGCTTCACTGTTTGCATTTTCAGGAAAGGTCCTGATTCCCACCGATTTCCACTGCATTTTCCTCTGTTTCTTTCTTTCAATCTAATACTTCTCATTTTCTCCCTTCCCAGTTCTCTGCATTCATGAATAAATGGTTAATCACCTACACTTGTTTCCTTGGATGTACCTGTGTTTTACTTTGTAGAAAGCTCTTTTTATTTTGATTATCATCACACTAATGCAATGACAAAATAATGATGTTAATTATTTTAAAAAATCACTGATGCTGGTTTTGTGCAAAAGGATGAGATGAACCTTTAAAAAGATGATAGTCCTTCCTGAAAAACCTGAATAGCGTTGTGACTGTTCACACAGGACCCTAGGATGGCACAACTTGCATTTTAAAGAAATCACCACAAATCAGATGGGGGGGGGGAATGAGACAAAAAAAACCCCAAATAATACTAGAATGCCATGTGTTGATTATGACGGCATCTAGATTGTCTGTAACTAGTAAAATATTGGTGGCAATTTCAATCTAAATTGCTAGCCCGGAGCCAGACCTCAAGGCCACAGACTTGAAGCTGCCCCCAGTTCTCAACGGCAGCCTCCAAACCGCTGAACATATGGAAGCATTAAGTGCAACATGAAATGATGCAAAACTAAACATTATCAGGCACCCTGCTCCAGCATCATGGCAGCTAGACTGTACAATATTTATTTGTTGGCACTGAAGATTCCACCATCATTTATGCACCTGTAGGATTACCCAATCTCATAAAAGTTAGGCCCAAGTTACAGCCTAGAAGATCAAAGCACTGCCTTACAGATTTGGGCCACAGCGCAGTGGCACCTTGTGCTTCAGGGGAGCTGCCTGTTTTGGTTTTTTTAACTGGGAAACTGGGATTGCCTGAACAGCATCTGATAGGTCAGGCGGTTGAGCTTATTGGGGCCCGGCGGGTCAGAGCACAGAGTCAATATTAAAGCCTCTTGGTGCCACTTTTTAAAAAATTCTGTAAAAGGCTGAGAATGAACCCTGGAGAAAATATAGCTCAGCTCCTTGCTTCTGGCCTGTTTCCCTGAGATTTAACCCCTTCCCTAGAGAAGGAGGCTAAAACTCCAGATGAAACTTCAAGGTCTGGCAGTCCTATTCCTCCCCTCAACTGCACTAGAAATACAAGTGACAGAACGAAGCAAAAGAGAACCTGATCTCCTGGTCACAGCTGAAGACACAGAGGTCCCCTCCATTGACAAGAAAAGCTAGAGGCCAGTGGACTGCAGAATGGTCCACTACGGTAGGTGACAGGGCAGCACACCAAAGACACAAGGGACCAGAGCAGTACCCCTTACTGGCATTATGCACCAGTCCTGATGTACACATGACCCTGCTGAGCTGGCACCCAGAAGTACAGGGCTGGTGCAACTAATGTTTTCCTCTCTCCACGGCCACGTCATCATGACTACCTGCGGAAAGCTTCTCTTCCCTGCTGAGACCTATAAGCCTGGGCACAGCAGCAGTATATGAATGGTTTAAGCCCATCTGGTTCTTCCGATGACAGCAGAATGAGTCTGTCTACCCACAGCCAGGACGTGAGACAAATTACGACTCCTCAATCCTAGCAATTCCCATTGGAGAGCTAGAAATACAGTTGTGAAGGCGTAGTGCTCGGATGCTCATCCTTTCATGTTTCTTAGGGCTGTTCGAAGCTCTGGCTTCAGAAATTCTTGGACCTCTGGGGGAAATGCCTGGGGAGAGGGGTGCTTGGAGGGGGAGGGGGCTCAGTGTGAACATAATTCAAGAGAGTTCATCCTCCCAAACTGCCACTCCTCCGAGGCATCTGAGCTCTGCACTCTGGAGATCAACTGTAATTCTGGGAGAACTCCAGGCCCCACCCAGAGGTTGGCAACTCTTATCTTTCCCCCCCCCACTTCCTCTCTATAAGAGAAGTAACCTGTTTGTCAACGTAGCCCGTAAGACACCATCTACATTGATGGTCCAGAATAACAAGAGAATGTTATCTTTGGAATCCAACCCCCCCCAGAATTGTGATTTCTGGCAGGAATGGAGCCACTGAAGCCACAAAATGTTACAAAGACAATTCAGTGGATCTAGGACTGCCAACCTCCAGGTGGGGCCTGGAGATCCCCCAGAGTTTACAGCTCATCTCCAGACTATAGGAATCAGGTCCCTTGGAGAAAATGGCTGCTGTGGAGAGTGGGCTCTATGGCATTATACCCCACTGAGGTCTTGACCCACTCCCAAATCTCCAAAAATTTCCCAATGTGGAGCTGGCACCCCTAAGTAGACCCCAGATCCCAGGCCTACCTCTACAACTCCAAAATGAGGCACAGCACGGTGATTTTCGCCAAAGCAACAGCTCCGCAGGTCCCACTTCTGCAGCGTAATCAGTACAAGTGTCTCCAGAAGGGGAACTGGAAGGCTCAAAGGGGATTGGTTCCTGTACCACATGACGTGACCAACATTTGCCTTCCTCTCACATCCGCCACAAGCCTGCAAGTTCCTCCTTACAGGCCACAAGTACTTAACAGGGGAAAAACAAACTATAAGCAAAGAAGGGGCCTGACCACTCATATAGATCTAACTAGATAAGAAGGCTGCAGGAAGGAACACCAAAATCAGCAACAGACATGCTCTCCGCATCGGAACCAGACTGGATGTTAAGACTTTATCTTGGGTTACTCCTATACTGCACTTAGGGCATGGCAAATCAGTTATCCTGCACAAGCTGTGCCACTGCCCACCCTCGATTTACATTCTGCAGATGTGGGCGATGGCAAACACAACATTGGATTTGGTCACCCTAAAGGCCC